TAGCTGTCTAGTTGTCTTGTTGTGTGAGAATATTTCCATCAATAAACATATTTGTGTAGTGCTGTCTAGTGATGGGGACAGAATCATCTCAATGATGGATATAATATAAACATTACTAGGAATAGCAAATATAAGATTTCAATATATACAATATAAATATTTAAGTATAGATATAATATACACATTACTAGGACTACCTTACATTACTCGTTAGTCGTTCACTTGAAATTACGTTTGCAGTCCCTTACAATGGAGGGGGGCAATGTGTCCCATAATATATAAGTAGGATGGGAGGGTAGGACGGAGGAATAGATTGAACTTTTAAGATTATTAAAAATTAATGAGAAAGATGATTGAAATGGCATCAAGTACAGGAATAAATAGAATAGGAGCGAGGAATAGGACGGACATGAGGAAAAGGACAGGAATGATGAATAGGACGGAAAATATGAATAGGACAGGAATGAGGAAAACGACAGGAATGATGAATATGACAGGAATGATTAATAGAAGGGGATGATGAAAAGTAAAGGAATGGTAAATATGACGGGAATTAAGAATATGACGGGAATTAAGAATATAACGGGAATTGTAAATAGGACGGGAATTGTAAATAGAACGGGAATGGTAAATAGGACGGTAATTGTAAATAGGACGGGAATTTTAAATAGGAAGGGAATGGTTAATAGGACGGGAATTGTAAATAGGACGGGAATTGTAAATAGGACGGGAATGGTAAATAGAACGGGAATTAAGAATATAACGGGAATTATAAAAAGAATGGGAATTATAAATAGGACGGGAATGGTAAATAGGACGGTAATGTTAAAAAGTAATGATAAATGTGAATTATGAATAGAACGGAAATGATAACTAGGACGGAAATGATAAATAGGACAGAAATTGTAAATAGGACCGGAATGGTAAATAGGACAGAAATGGTAAATAGGACGGAAATAGGATGGGAATCTTGAATAGGACGGGAATAATGCTAAGGTCGGAAATTTTCAATAGGACCTGGATTGTAAATAGGACCAGACTGGTAAATAGGACGGGAATGATAGAACGGGAATTATGAATATGACGGAAATGATTTATATGACTGAAATAATAATAGAACGGGAATGATAAATAGGACGGGTAAGGTTAACAGGACTAGAATGATTAGTATTGGGACGTGAAAGGTAAATATGACCGGAAAGGTAAATAGGACGGGTAAGGTTAACAGGACTAACATCTACTTTTTTACTCTACAGAGGTTTGGTCCATCACCATCACTGAATTTTAGAATGATTAGTATTGGGACGTGAAAGGTAAATATGACCGGAAAGGTAAAGAGGACGGGTAAGGTAAATAGGGCTGGAATGATAATAGGACGCGAAGGAAGAGGATAGATTAAAAATATGACGGGCAAGAGGACAGGATAAGAAATAGGACGGGAAAAGTAAAGAGGACGGGAATAATAAGGAGGACCCGATAATAAATAGAACGGATAAAGTAAATAGGACAGGATAAGAAATAGGACGGGTAAGGTAAAGAGGACAAGATAAAAAATATGAGGAGTAAGGTAAAGCGAACATGATAAGAAATAGAACGGATAAAGTAAATAGGACAGGATAAGAAATAGGACGGGTAAGGTAAAGAGGACAGGATAAGAAATATGAGGAGTAAGGTAAAGCGAACATGATAAGAAATAGAACGGATAAAGTAAATAGGACAGGATAAGAAATAGGACGGGTAAGGTAAAGAGGACAAGATAAAAAATATGAGGAGTAAGGTAAAGCGAACATGATAAGAAATAGAACGGATAAAGTAAATAGGACAGGATAAGAAATAGGACGGGTAAGGTAAAGAGGACAAGATAAAAAATATGAGGAGTAAGGTAAAGAGGACAGGATAAGAAATAGGACAGATAAAGTAAAGAGGACAGGATGAGAAATCTGACAGGAAAGGTAAAGAGGACAGGATAAGAAATAGGACAGATAAAGTAAAGAGGACAGTATAAGAAATCTGACAGGAAAGGTAAAGAGGACAGGATAAGAAATAGGACAGATAAAGTAAAGAGGACAGGAAAAGTAAAGAGGACAGGAATGATAACATGTGACCTCAACCAGATTTAAGATAAAACTATTCAAAACTCCCCTAACTCTAACCACAAGATTAGAAAATGCAGGGGGAAACATGAAGAGAGAGATTTATATTTTAAAATTAAGCCAGATTAATCCCCCAGCAGGAAATCAAAGAGCAGATCAAATATGCAATGACAAATAAAACAATTTTGAACCCTACATTGACAATTGGCAAAATATAAAAATATAAACTTTTTAGGGAAATTCATTTTCCTCTCACCTCCGTCCTGAGATAGCATGGAAAGCAGGAAGTATGAGAAGGAGGAAGAAAAAGGACAAATTTTCATAGAAATCATTTCAGATTGACATTTAAACTGGAAACTATTGATTCTAACCTTTTACATAGATCTTCCTTTCTCAACTTTTCTTCAGGGTATATAATATCGGATATAGGAATCCCAACCTTTCAATCATACCAACCTTTCCATCATCCCAACATTCCCAACATTCTAAAACTTCCTATCGTCTCAGCCTTCCCATCGTCTGAACCTTCCCAACCTTCCCATCTATCAACTTTCCAATCCCAACCTTCCCATCATCCAAACCCTCCCATCATCAACCTTTCCATCATGCCAACCTTCCCAATCCTATCATTCCAACCTTACCATAATCCCAACCTTACCATCATCCCAACCTTTACATCATCCCAACCTTTACATCGTCCCAACCTTCCCAATCCTATCATTCCAACCTTACCATAATCCCAACCCTCTCCCATCTCCCCCCCTCTGAATCCCTCGTGTATAGTATGTCCTAGGTAAGATTAAATTAGAAAGTTCATCTATAATTAAGAAGACTATTTACTATTCACTGCTAAACTCGGAAAAGAATTCAAACTTGGTTTAAAATCTGCACAAAGTAGGAACTGCTATGATAAAAAAATATTATTAAACCCAACAGAATATTCATTATTCATATTTTTGAATTTTTTAGAAACCTCAAATAGCACTAAGGAACAGGGTTACCAACTAGTGATGATACTTCGGACACAACTGTAACAGAAATTGTTCAGTCTTAAATCTAATGCTTATGGTTCCCGTTCTTTCTTTTCAAATTCAATTATAGTTTGTAAATTATTAATTATGTTGAAGGCAGAAAACCCAGCTCAGACTTACGATTATTATATTACGAAGAGTTACTGGTCATCATTAAGGTCTTATCCTTTGTGGGTAACCCTGTAAAATGACCGATCAGGATTCAAATTTTATTATTTTGAAATGTTTTCACTTTTAGAACTGAAAAAATCAATCGAATGTTGAACTCGTCAACCTAGAAGAAATTGTGCAAATTTATTACGTATGCTGCTGTTATTAAAAAATCTTTTAGAAAAAGATCACTTATTATTCATAGAAAAGTTGGTGCACCAAGCTCTCTTCATTCTTGAAGCGTAGTTTTAATAAATAAGTTTTTAAGCCTGGGAAAACTAAACACTGTGGTCTCTTATCTAAGCAAAATAATAATGTCAAGAATTTTAAAATATTGATCAAATGATGCTAAATTGATGATGGGGCAAGGAGGGGGAAAGTGGAGGATAGGAGAGGGAAAATTAGGGGTAGTCGGAAAGGAGGATAAATGATGATGGAGGGGGGGGGGGGCNTATCAAGTGTTAAGGACGATTTTATCAATTATCAAGTGTTAAGGACGATTTTATCAATTATCAAGTGTAAAGGACGATTTTATCAATTATCAAGTGTTAAGGACGATCTTATCAATTATTAAGTGTTAAGGACGATTTTCTCAATTATCAAGTGTTAAGGACGATTTTATCAATTATCAAGTGTTATTATCAAAGTGCAAAAATAAATTAATTGAGAATTTATATTATTTCGACATAGTTCTATATATATAATATCTCTTTGTTAGTAACCACAGACTATAATCAAATTTATTGTTTAGGTCTGTTGACACAATTTGGTAGAAATTTAATGGAATTATAAAATATAATTTTTTTTATTTCAATGTACTTCCATCCTTATCTTCTTCTTTATTCTAATCTTGAATACAAACATTTTATCTATTAGAATTAAAATCAAGAAAATAAATTCATAAATATAATTGTATAGTTAAATAACGAGGACATAACTTTGCTAAATTTATACAATTAATTCATTGACAGCAAGTTATTAACAACACATATTGGTAAAAAAAAATTTCAAAAATAAATTATTTGATTTATTATAGTTTTTATTAATAGCTGCCCTGTGCTCAATTGTAGTAATTATGCAATTTACTATAATAACCTGTGTGCATATATGATAAAATATCTTTAATTAACAACTGAAGTAAAACTGTGCAATCTAAATAAAGTTTACAAAAACAATATTTAAGAAAACCTTATTTTGCGAAAATTTCATTTTATAAAGGAACTGAGTCTTTGCCACAAAATCAACTATTCTAATGGTATATCTTTGCAACCTTATTGGACCAAAAATTTTAGCTTTTAAACTTCTGGAAATTTCAAAGAGAAATCATACAACATTTTCAATCACACTAATAAGTCATAAGGAAACAAAATATGAAGAAACATATCTTATAAAAGTTGTAAAGATTTATGTTTAGTGCAACATTGCTGCTATCCATTATAACTCTTTGTTGACCAATTAGGATCTGTAGATCTTTGAGTAACGTGAACCTTAGTTTAATCATAATTACGCACATATGAAAAATTATTATAAAGGCGCGCTTTACTCTATATAAATAAAATAAATGATTTTTAGGAGAAAAACAATGCATTTTTGGGTAATAAGTATCAAAAAGAATGAAAACAGGTGACTTTTGATGTTCAATTTTTTTTATTTTCTACCAAAATCATAAAAATAAAATTCCCTCCAGATAATTATACTCCCTTGGGCAATTGTTCAGGTGTTTAGCCTACCTTGTATCCAGTGGATTGTTTTTATCATAAAAAGCTGGAATGAGACATCTAGCGGACTCTACAGGTTTAGTTTCAACAACAGAGAGCATAGCTGACTCCCTGAACACAAAGGAAGGGAATAAAACACGACTTACAACATTAAAAGGGACTGTGAACGTGAATTTGAGTGACTTTTCATTTGAATTACGTACCAAGAACACAATGGTACCCTTTAAACCTTAGTTTGAGCAAAAATGTTGAAAATGTCTTTAATTTATTGTAAAAATAATAAATTTCGAAAAATGCATTTAATTTCTCTATATAAGTGAATGTTGACGACATTATTTATCTTTTAAATAAAACAGACGACATATTCCTTATTATAACTCAGATTAACGTTTAAATATATGGTTTTTACTAGCTGATTTACCAATCAGTGAAATAAATCTAAATGGGGTCCTCATGGGTCGGGTTTCTCATTTCCTCGGAAGAACCAAAAAAAGGCTTTAGTAAAAAATAAATAAAATGGATGTTTTGTTGAAATCAAGGAGCCAGTCCCCTTTTGAAGTACAAAAATAAACCCGGATAATATTCCTGGTATATGATGCGATTAAATCTAAAAATTTAAAGATGAAAATCAAAGTTTGGGAAGATCCAACATGAAAAAAAAACTAGTTTGATAAAGTTTTGCTGTATACTTGCCTTAGTTTAGTCCACTCTGCCGAACCAAACCGGTTTTGGGAGAATAAAACCACCTACAGCCAGCATTTCTCAACTTCAGTCTTTTTATAAATGAAGAGACATGGTAAAAAAAGCATTCATTTGCTACAAAATTCCAGTAAATTGCACACATCATATACCCACAATGATTAAACATTCTGTGGCGACTATACGCAATTCCTTCAGTATTCATTCGTGTATTCATAATTCCCTACAGTCATTGCAATCCTTTCTTTGACAAATCCTAGTTTATCATTTAAAGATTAAATTTAGTTCGTTAAATTTAAAAAGTTTCAGGTCGTCATGAAAGACTTATTATTTGTGGGTACTACTGTAACTTGTTCTAGAGCGCTAAATCAGATGTGATTTGAAAATTCAAGTTTTCAATAAAATGAATTGAGTACTTGAAGGGCCTGAAACCATGATTGCAAGCGTTCATCTATTTATAGAATTATAATTCCGATACACACTGTACCCTTGAAAGCTTTGTATGATCAAGTATGAACTAGATAAGGATGTTCATGTTGAGAATTTTGAACTAGATAAAGATATTCATGTTGAGAATTTTGAACTAGATAAAGATGTTCATGTTGAGAATTTTGAAATCTGATTATTTTAGTTGTGGTTTCTCTACATCAGTGACTTGCGTATTTCTACTACAGGAAAACAATGTAGGCATTTTCAGAGCTAACCTCTATTGAAGCTAAAAAACGGACGATATCTTCCGCAATATTTATCAGATAAATGTTTGAAATTCAGTTTACTCCTCGTTAAATGAAGGATTAAATTAAATAACAATGACAGTCTATTTACAATAAAGTTAAAATGTGTTGAAGGAGAATATTTCCTTTATTAAATGCTGCACTAGCGCAGGATCTTCATGCTTCAGATGCCGCGTACATAAATCAGGCAAAATAGATAAACAGTGCTCTGCATAGTCACTAAACAGGAGAATAATCATGTAAATTCTGTCATCATGTCATTATGTCATCATGTTATAATGTCATCCTGTCAACATGTTGTCATGTCATCCTGTCATCTTTTCATCATGTTGCCATGTCATCATGTCAATATGTTATCATGTCATCTTTTCATCATGTTGTCATTTCAAGATGACATCATGTCATTATGACATCATGTCATCATGTCATCATGTCATCATGTCATCATATCATCATGTCCTCATGTTCTCATGTCATCATGTCATCAAGTCATCACGTCATCATGTCAACAGAAATCAATTTAAAAGCTGTTTTTATCATAAAGATTTTCGTCGAAAACAGATGTTCTTATTTCAATACCTTTCATGGCATCATGTCATTTTGTCATCTTTTTATCATCATATAATAATGTTATCATGCCATCATGCCATCATGTCAACAGTAATCAATTCTGTATTTAAATCATAAAGTTATTCGTCGGAAACAGATGTTAATAATTCAATACCTTTCTGGGTTAGCAATTTCATCAATGGCGTCTCTCAAATAGTAGATTTTCTTTTCCCTTTCTTCAACTTTAGTATCATTACTCATATTAAAAGCAGGTAGATCATCATCTTCATCTTCATCATCCGAATCGAGGACTTCTACTTTCTGAACAGCAGAGTCAAAAAGGATGTTAAGCAGGAATTCGATTATGAATTATAAAAGAGCAAATTACGGACTAAAAAATAAACCGAGCTGAAAAACCACGAATCAGAGAAAACTAAAACTTTTACATGAAAATTGGAAAGACAATCCACAAGTCATAATTTGATCATTTGAATCGATTATTACCTTGCTAAGCAGTGGATTAGCATTACAGTTTTTTATCACAGGTCTTTGTGCAGGTATAGCAGGTATAGCAGGTACAGCAGGTACAGCAGGTACAATGGTGGAGGAAGAAGAAGAGGAAGAAGAATTACCAGAAGCTGAAGAACACAGAATATCTCTCCACTCAGAGAGAACTTGAGAACTTGATAAAGTTGACCTGGTCTAAAAAAGTAATTTTATACATTCAACAATTTTGTCAACACTTGACAAAAAGATTTTTCAATCTAAAAAAATTAACCCTCTCCTATCCCTTTAAAAATAAATAGACTATGCAAAGTTGCATCAATTTTATTTTTGAAATGTTTCTGGTTTTGATAATTTACTTGATGTTTGGCAGTATCAGATCCCCTAATAAGTAATTATATATTTGTTAACGTCAAATATGGATTGGTTAGGTGTTAACCCAATCCAGGGGCGTCTAGACGTTTTCTTTCATGATTCATGTGCAATAAATTGCACAACTGAAAAATATTGTATTTAAAATTGAACATTAATATAAAACTACCTTCTTCCCTGTATCTGGCGAGGCTAAAAGTTTGAATTTTGTCAACATATCTTGATCCTGGATCTCCCAATCAGGAACCTTATCCTCTCCTAACCTTGTCAGGATCACGAGAACCATTATCATCCCTGATCAGGAGACAGTTTAGATAATGCACTGTTAAATGGATAGTCGCCGTATTTTAAAGTGGACCTTCATTTAAAGATTATCATACCTATTCACAACAGAACCTTTCAACCATCATCCCAGCAAAAAAATCAGTGCTTAGAATCCGTTGGATCCCCACTTCACGGCTCCGGATCCCCAAAATATGCAGATCTATTCCATGGATCCGGATACGAGGGGCAAAATATCAACCAAAATATGCAGTTAAAAAATGTGAGATGATAAAAAAACTTTCTAATCTCTGAATGGCTCATCAGCATAAAAATTGGCAAAAAAAGAGGAAAAAAATCCTGATTTTCAAAACTTATTGAATATAAAATGTTGCCGGAGGCAAATATTTGAACGTTTGATCATTCATAAACCTTCCCTGGGGTCATTAAAAGTCTTAAACACAAAATTTGGGCCCGATCGGTTCAGATGTTTTGACGTTTAATGGATAGAAACAGAGAGACAGACAAGCAAAGTATATATATGATTGCGACTCAGAGAATATACAAAGAACTTTGAAGTTCTTCGTATTAAAAATCAATTTTGCTAAAAATTGAATATTTAATAACATATGATATGATATTGGTTGCACTTTAGAACCGAAAACCTTGACACAATTTCTAAAATTTTTAACCTTAAAATTTTGCAAATTTTGAGTGTTCCGTTATTTTAACAAAAATCATTAAGATGCGCCTATTCGCCGATTCCCCCCCCCCCCCCCCCACACATATCAACCCTTTATCAATCATTTACAGGGGTGATCACTTTATCGGAATTTAAAACTGTAAAATGGGGCTCTTTTTAAAACTTTTTACCTAAAAATCGTTTATTTTCCAAATTGTGAATTCAGAAAAGAAATTCGGAAAAATGTTTCGCTACACGCAAACACACACATATTACAACTTCTGGACAAAATTAAGATTTTCTAAAAGAGGGGGGGGGAATATACCTTATCATTTACCTAGATTACGTTTAGCTGGAATAGAATCAAACCAGTGTACTGTCCCTTTAGTTATCAGCAGCATTGTTCTAGCTTTCATCTACAATAGATATTTGCGATAAAGCTCTCAGCTAGCTTAATTATATATAAATTTGGGCATTTATATATAAAGAACCAGCTTCAAATTAAAAAAATAAAAGTTAGCTATAGCTGGCTAAACGGCTGGACCAAATCGAATGACATTTTTCAGTGAATCCATGGAATTGGATACCCTGGAGTAACATAGCCTAAAAAAATTCTAAATTTTTTTTCTTCAAAAATCCAATTTTACTTGATAAAGTGTTACCTAAAGTGAAACTACAGAATAGGAAGAAACAGTTAAGACCTAGCAAACTTGTATTTGCTGATGTCAGAAATAAAAATAAAGTAAATATAGTTTTACCAGAACCTTCAAAGCCCTGTCACGATTGGGCTATTTTGGTCTAGGGGGTTTTTACATCCTGAATTCCCCCAAACTACCCCCTCAATCTCTAATTCTCACTCCTCCTTTCATCTCCCTCCTTACCTGATGAATCTGGTATTCAGTAGAGAAAGAGAAACAACAGCAAATAAGTTTACACAATATCAACTGATCCCTGGACCATCAAATATAGGTTTGAAAATTCAAAAAAAAAAATCAGAATGTATTTTTTAAAATACTAATTTAAGAAAAAATAAGGGTTTAACATGTAGATGAGGGAAAAGTCAATAAATAACAAAAAATTCAACAAAAAACTCTTCTCTCAAATAAATTATTTATAAGATCGCAAGACCCTTTTCCCTATAATTTTCTAGAAGCTTAAAAGAATTTGTTGAAATATTAGAAACTATGCTAACTTTACTTTTGATAAAAAATTGTTGATGACAATTTTTGTAAACTTTCCCTGTGGTCATGTGGGGTCCCACAAAAATTTGGGTACGATCGGTTCAGCAGTTATGGCGTTTATCGGTTACAAACAAGCAAAGTATATATAGATGTATATAGATATATATACCTGTATTCACCATGGTCAACGTATATCTGATCCACAAAGAGAAGAAGCGCTCTGCTTAAAATCTTGGATATCAAATCTGTATCTACAATGTGTAGATATCCAACCAGGTTCTTCAGTTTATCCTCGACTTTTATCCCTCTAGATATATATCGATATCCGTTACAAACGAGATATGGCTGGAAAATTACAGGGTTACGCACAAAGGGTGAGACTGTGCAGAATTTATATTGTGTACTAACTTATATATATCGATATCCGTTACTATCTAGATATGGCTGGAACGTTACAGGGTTACGCACAAAGGATGAGACTGTGCAGAATTTATATTGTGTACTAACTTATATTTAGGATTCTCTACAACTGTAAACTGGTTTATTTCGATGCCATGTCAATAAATAGGCAAATAAAATATAATATTTAAGACAGAAGACTTAATTTAACCTTGTAGTCGTCATATTTTATAAGTTCCAGGTCGTCTTTACAGACTCATTCTTACATCCTTTGTGGGTAACCCTGAATTACGCTAACTTGGAAACTTAACTTTGCCAGCAAACTAAACTTTCCCTTTCAAAGTTCATCAACTCAAATTAGAAAACTTAAACCATGCTTCCCGAGTACCCCCAATCAAAATTTGAGGCAAGTCGGTCAAGAGAATCCTGAATTATGTAACTTAATCATATAAAAGTTTACAAGAAATCCTCCATAGAAAATATTGCTCAATAATCGAACCCATTTATGTTCTATAAACATTTACCTCAGGAACAAATTGTTTTCAATAATTTTGAAAGTTTTCTCCTGGTTGAAAACTGGGCCGAGAAGGACGAATATATCAGAAGGATTCTCCAGGTCCAGGGCGGATAGGAAGCATTTCTCCAGGGTTGGTAAATCTAGACAGGAGAATATTCTCTGGATGAGATTTGGTGGATTTTCAGTTCCTCCCTCGTCTATCCAACCAAGGCAAAATCTGAAGAAACAAAATGGAAGAATTTTAAAATCTGAAAAACTTCCTGTTTTTAAATTTTTTTCTATGTTTGGATCTAGACTATAGAGCTACCTGAAAAAATTATGGAGAGGTTTAGGAACCTGCTCCTTGTAGTTTAGGAATAGTTTAGAGAGAAGGAAGGAGATATGTTCAGGGTTCAAGGAGACATCTCCGGGTTTTGTATTAGATATAGATACAGCTGAACCAGGATTTCTTTGTTTTTAAAATGAAAGAGAAAATCTGTAATAGAGAAATGTTCAAAGAAAAGACACCTGAAATATGTGTCACATGGTACAGAAAAGACAGGTAAAGGGACTGTAAGCGTAATTTCAAGTAACCCTCCATGCAAAGATAGCAATACCTGATTCACAACGGTACCCAATACCCATGAAACCTTGATATTATCACAAATGTGTGAAGATACTGTTGTGTTTCTAGGTTTAAAGGGTTTACTATTCTGATATTTCCCGCAGACTCAGCTTTTAGACAAAGCTTTCAAGGGTACCGATGTAAATCGGGGATGTCCCTTCCTCTTAAAATGGATGGAAAGGTAAATAAAATAACGCATACAGTCCCTTTAAGAAATTATCTGTTTTCACCGCACTTTTTTGGGTCGACTTTACACTGGGTAGTCCAGACTGGACAGTACGACTGAAATCATATACAATACAGTACATGTTGTACCGGAAAGGATCATACAACTTTAAGAGTTAGAGCTAATAAAGTGTTTAAGCGAGATTGTACAAACTTGTTTAAAAAAAAGATTCCTAAGTTTGAGAGAATGATTGATGTAAAGATGTTTGGGTGGAGTTGAGGGGGTATATCTACCCCTGCCAGTATATTAGACAAACGATCTGGTAGTTTTATCAAATCACTGCAAACAAAGCAATTCAATTTTAAGTCTTGTAAAAATCACTAAACAATTGTTACTTTTACAGTAACATTTCATTTATTTTTGGAGAAAACCTAAAAAGACATTATTTTAAATCATAATATAAATGATTTTTGAATTGTTTTCCTGATCAAGGTTTGAGTTTTAGAATCTCTGTCCTGAGCGGAGAGAACGGAGCCAAATATCTGAGCTAACCCAAAGTCCCGGAGCAGCTCAACCAACCTCAGTATCCCTGTCTTATCATTACTCCGGATACACTCATCCAGCACCACCCGAAGCCTTTCCGCCATTTTCTACAATCTGAAATAAAGAACCTTTATCCAGAATTCTAAATTCTGGGTTCTATTTCTCTCCAAATCGGATAAATCAACGCTTTTTGTCACCAAAATCGGAGATGTGCGGCGATGAGATTAAGGTTGGTTAAGCAGGCTCAGTTTCTGGTTCAGCTCCGCAACAAATTTGCAGTTTTCCCCGTAGTTAAGTGCAAATATATCACGGGCCTTAACAAAATAAATTTATTAGAAAAATGTACATATACTTTAACAGAGCGGTGAACTTTTCAGAGGCGTATTCATGTGGGGAAATGGGTGCTTACCCCCCCCCCCCCCCCATGGGTCAGTGAAATCCACAGTTTTCATGGAGGGTTTTGGGCCCCAACAGATTTAGCAAGGCTCTGATTGGTTGGACTTTTAGATATATTCATAAGATATTATGTATTAGCTTAATCTCTTGGCCCCAAAAGATATTAACAATACAAAAGTTTTAACCTTGAGTTGAACAGAGCATGCCAAGATTTTTTTTATCACTCTCTAAATTAACATCTTAAGAAAATTCCAATTCAATCATCATTACATTCTTCTTACCCTGTTATACATGATACATGAATTGTCCCTTTATTACATAAAAAAGAGTAAACATTACCTCGGTCAGAGATTGTATAAGAAGTATAGGATCTAACTGTTCTCCATTGTTCAACTAGGGAAAATAACTTGTTTAGAAAGAAAAAGATTCAGTAATCTGTATTACTCTATAATCTATATGTATATCAAATCAAATCAAATCATATTAAACTTTTAGGGACGTACTACACCCACGTCCCACACGCCATGATTCGAAGTGAATAAACTAAATATATATAAAAATAATCTCTGTTCGTCTGTCTCTTTTATTGTTTGGATGTCCAATCATAACTAATAACCCACTAATCCAGTTTGCCTTTAATTTTGATAGAACCACAAGAATATTCCTTGCTTGGTTTTAATATTTTAAGTTAAGTAAGGAACATTTAATGGATACATTAATGTGAAAAAAAAACAATATTATTAACGGTTGTAACAATGTAGAATAAAACAATATTTGTAACGGTTTAAACAATGTGGAATAAAACAATTGTTACAGTTGTAACAATGTGGAATAAAACAATTGTTACAGTTGTAACAATGTGGAATAAAACAATTGTAACGGTTTAAACAATGTAGAATAAAACAATTGTTACAGTTGTAACAATGTGTAATAAGACAATTGTTACAGTTGTAACAATGTGGAATAAAACAATTGTTACAGTTGTAACAATGTGGAATAAAACAATTGTAACGGTTTAAACAATGTAGAATAAAACAATTGTTACAGTTGTAACAATGTGGAATAAAACAATTGTTACCGTTGTAACAATGTGGAATAAAACAATTGTTACCGTTGTAACAATGTGGAATAAAACAATTGTAACGGTTTAAACAATGTGGAATAAAACAATTGTTACAGTTGTAACAATGTGTAATAAGACAATTGTTACAGTTGTAACAATGTGGAATAAAACAGTTGTTACAGTTGTAACAATGTGGAATAAAACAATTGTTACAGTTGTAACAATGTGGAATAAAACAATTGTAACGGTTTAAACAATGTGGAATAAAACAATTGTTACAGTTGTAACAATGTGTAATAAGACAATTGTTACAGTTGTAACAATGTGGAATAAAACAGTTGTTAAAGTTGTAACAATGTGGAATAAAACAATTGTAAACGTTGTAACAATGTGGAATAAAACAATTGTTACAGTTGTAACAATGCGGAATAAAACAATTGTTACAGTTGTAACAATGCGGAATAAAACAATTGTTACAGTTGTAACAATGCGGAATAAAACAATTGTTACGGTTGTAACAATCTGGAATAAAACAATATAAAAGGCTTTAACAGCTACAACTTCGAGAAAAAACAGGGGCGCGAAGTGCCTTAATTCTACCTGGGCGAAAACTAGATCTGTATATTTGAGGAGTTCATGGCCAACTTCTATAGATTTAGTTCCATATCTTTCAGATACTGTTCCCAAACATTTCCTAAATATTTTCATTTTTTAAAGAAAACCTTGAAGGGAGAGTAAACGTTATTTTAAGTGAACCACCATGCAAAGAGAGATTTGTCCGATTTACAACGGTACACTTGAAATATTTGTGGACAGCCTACCCCATGGTAGCAAATGATTGATCTCAAATTTCCTAAGATTTACATCTGGATTGTAGTGGTTTGAACACATTAACCATTACACTTATGAATCGGGTATTGGCATCTTTGCATGGAGGGTCACTTGAAATTACGCTTACACTACCTTTCAGCGTACTTGCTAACAATGCTATAAACAATCGATTAACTAATACCCCCTTACCTTATACCTTGTCAGTTCTGTTCCTAAACTATACCTTGTTAGTTCTGCTCCTAAACTATACATTGTTAGTTCTGCCGCTAAACTATATCTTGTTAGTTCTGCTCCTAAACTATACCTTGTTAGTTCTGCTGCTAAACTATAACTTGTTAGTTCTGATTCTAAACTATATCTTGTTAGTTCTGCTGCTAAACTATACATTGTTTGTTCTGCTTCTAAACCATGCCTTGTTAGTTCTGCTGCTAAACTATACCTTGTTAGTTCTGCTGCTAAACTATACCTTGTTAGTTCTGCTGCTAAACTTTACCTTGTTAGTTCTGCTGCTAAACTATACCTTGTTAGTTCTGCTGCTAAACTATACCTTGTTAGTTCTGCTCCTAAACTATACCTTGTGAGTTCTGCTGCTAAACTATACCTTGTGAGTTCTGCTGCTAAACTATACTCTCCTTCATCAGAATATGCTCGAGCCAACATATCTCTAAACATATAAAATCAGATCAAATCAATAAAAAGTAAAGTAAAAATATTAAATTATGCATGTTTGTGTTTATGTTATAATGTCTGCAAAGATAAAAATTGGACGAAAAAATATTGATGGGAAAAAAACATAATGATGAAAAAGATTGAAATATGGCGGAGGGAGAAGAGAGATGGTGGCGGATGGAAAAAACCTTTAGCAGATGAAAAACTGACACCCCTTTTATTGTAAAGAAAACATAGTAAATAATAAGTTAAAAGAAAATTTCTCTCAATAGTTAATGATATTTCAAGAGAAAATGCCAGGATCTAAAAACGGGTGACAAACTACCTAACTCTGGCAAGATGAGAGTTATGCTTGTAAAGAATATTGCTGAGTCTGCGTTCACTCTTCTCTAATCGTTGAATACGATTCCTTTCTCCTGGTGTATCCTGTATCCCACAGTTCAACAGTTCACCAACTATTCCATCTATTTCAGCATCCTAAAACATAAATCAAATCTATTTCAGTATCCTAAAACATAAATCAAATCTATTTCAGTATCCTAAAACATAAATCAAATCTATTTCAGTATCCTAAAAAATAAATCAAATCTATTTCAGTATCCTAAAACAAAAATCGAATATATTTCAGCATCCTAAAACATAAATCAAATCAAATCATAAGGTTTAGGGATTGCTTGTGAGGCTTCTATGCATCTGGGTTTTTCAGATTTATTCTTTAGATTTTTTCAATTTTAGTTATTTGATGATGCTCAGGACCCATGAATAAAGTGCTAAATAGGCCTATTATTCTGAAGTTTTTCAATCTGCTCACAAATTTGAGCCATAATACCATTTGTTGTGACCTATCATTTGTTTGTTGCCAAAAAAAAATTTTAATACATCTCCCTAATGGATTTTTATTTTTTCAAGAACTAAAAAAAATATCAGGATTACTTTAAACATTTGAAAGAATTGTAATCTTGTTCATAAACCCAAAATAAAGTTTTTCTAATATGAATAAACACTTGTTGAGAATAGATTAGGATTTGAACCCAATCGGCTCGGCAATTTCTACTTTTAACCTTTGGATAAAAACAAACCAACCTTCAAATAATACTATTGTGTAAAAAAAGCATCTTACATAATCTTCAGAGGTTTTCATTTGTTTATCACAGGTAGTACAGGTCTCATCTAAATATATAAAACAAATTTCAAGGCTGTACAGTGTAAACTGTACAGTGTACAATTATAAAAAATTGGACAGTCATCTTTATCTATAAGATCAGATAACAATTGTGAAGTGAAGCCGTAATTTTAATTGGCCCTTAATTAAAAAGAGAGTCACATCAAATTCAAAACCATACCCTTTAAATCTGATAAGAGGATGAAAATGGAACTTGCTCTGTCAAAGGCAAACAAAAAACATACAAGGGAAACACGGAAAACAGAGAACTATTGGAGAGTAGCTCACCAAACTTAATTAAAAAGAGAGTCACATTAAATTCAAAACCATACCCTTTAAATCTGATAAGAGGATGAATATGGAACTTGCTATGTCAAAGGGAAACAAAAAACATACAAGGGAAACACGGAGAACAGAGAACTTTTGGAGAGTAGCTCACCAAACTTTAAAGAAGAAAGGCTTACTTTCATCAATAACAGACGCAGAAGGAGAACTGGTTACAGATGGTCTAATGTTAAAAGAACCAATAGTAAGAAAAGTGGCTAAAATGGCACTGGGACAAAAATCATAACTGTTCATGTCAAAGAGGAAAACTAATAATCAAGAAGGTTACGGTAATAACAAAAACAAATTAAAAAAATTGATACCAAAGGAAAGAGAGAAATTTGAGTATGAAAAAGAGATCTATCAACCGGTATTTATAGTAAAAGATTTTAAGAAGTTAAAATAAGGCGTCAGGGGTAGACAGGGTGTGTGCAGCAATGCTTACAAGCATCTAGTGAAAAAGAGATACAACTATTGACAGATCTTGTTATATGAGAAGGACGTGTACCAGAAATCATACAAATTGGTAAGATGACACAAATTTTTTTAAAAAGGAAACCATCATTAGATGTGTCGGAAAAAAAGACCACTCACTGAATCTAATGTAGTTTTAAGTGTATTGATAAAGGTAGTGCATAATAGAATGAATACAATATGTGAAAGAGTATGATTTTAAAGAAACGGCCAACAGTTGATTTTGTATTCATGATCCCAGTAGCTTTGAAAGCATCGAAAAGGAAACATAATACAATATCTCTGGCATTCATTGAAAAGGCGTATGACAACGTATGAAGGGAACTTACACCAAATTACGAAATATTGGATTTGGAGTTTAAGTGGAATCACTAATCAGGTCCATGTACTTTAATGACTGTGTAAGCACAAGGATTATCTGATCCAATCTATTTCACACAAGAGGTGAAACAAGGTTGTAGTTTATCATTATACATCCCCTTCTTAGGGACAGCCCTACACAACCCCAAGTTAGGAGTAGAATTTGGACATTAACACTAACAACTCTATTCTTTGCATACAATTTATCATTACTGTACTCTAAAAGGGTGAATGTATTAATGTATTAAACATAGTAACAGAATTTTGTAATGTTATGCAAATGAAATTGTTGGTAACAAAGACATACATTTAAACTAATGCCCAATGGATGTGTCATGTACGGTTGAAGAAGAAACAATAGAAGAAGTATTAATTGCTAAGTACTTAGGGGTTCAGATCCAATTTAAGGATAGGTCAATCATTGGAAAATAGGAAGAAATTATAGTAAGAAGAGCAACAAACTATACATACTCAATCATGAACCTGTGTCCTAGACAGAGCAATAGTAGCTAAATGCTTATGGGAATCATGCGACATACCACCTTTTCTCTACTGCTCAGAAGCAGCAGTCTTCAAGCAAAGCAAAATGAATTGGAAAAGAGGCTCCGTTGGTAAAAAACCGTTCCCCTGGAAAATTTAGGAGCGCAAGAAGAGAGAGCAGCTGCACCTTCGAACTCTTTCATTTCGATTTCTAGGAATAGAATAAAATAAAATTGCAAATCTTGCTTACACACTCTCCACTCTCAAGCTGCTCATGGTTTCGACATAAAATTGATCAAATTCACGCAATTATTCAATTATCCCCCCCCCCCTGGCAAGTATCATAAGTCAACCCTATAAGTTTACCTATCACAGATCCATCACAGAAATTACATCTTCTGGCCTCAAACTTTTTCATGAAATTCCTTTCCTTCAGATCCGCGCATGCTTCGCACATACATCTAAACCAAGGATTATTATCAACTATTATTATCATTTGCAGACAACAAATCATTCAATGAATTAAGGGTCGAACTATAATGATTGCGGGGTGCAAAACTGCAGTATATTGAATTACATGAAAAAATTATGTTTTAAAAAAGTAAAAATAAAGCAAATTGCTGTTTTTAGGTTAAAAAGAAAGTTTTAATTCAAACCCCTAAAAATAATTATTGCCTGAGTGCACTTCCTATTTAACTGAAGCAAAAAATTATTTTTTTTAAATATATGGAGGCATCCACTGGAATTACTGTCCAGGATTTCTTTCCCCGAAGGGTAACATTTTTTTTTTGGCTTTTTACCCAAACTAGCTATTTTGCCATTAAATCACTTATTTTAAGTCATTTTGAATCACTCACCTTGATAGTTACCTTTAATTTACAGTCATTGAGTCATTTTTACCCACTTACCCAGGGTAAGGGGTGTATATTAGTTCTGAGATTCATATGCCTCCCCCCCCCCTTTTTACATCATATTTTTAAAACATCAGGTTTTTTTACAGGGTGATGCACCCCGCGCAAGTTTGCCGTGGCACGGGGGTTTGAGGGGAGGCAGAGCCATTCCTTGCGGCGAAAATTTTTGAATTTTTGTTGTACAATGGAGTGTTTTGGTGCCCTAAAAATGTCAAAAACCAGGACCCCCAAATTTTTTTGAAACTTTTTAAGCCCTTATCAGTCATGTATTTAGGTAACAGAATAACTTTTAAAATGGGGGAAAAACATGATATTGCTATTAACGAAAAAAAGATTTGGAATAGTTTCCTGTGTGAGCCAAAACTAGCAGATAAAAATAATTATAATTTAAAAAAAAAATATTTAAAATCTTGTTTGACACTGAGCTGTCTATAAGTCCAAGCAGTTTTGCCTGCGTTACAATAAAGGTTCTGACAGATTCTTTTTATCTCTTCAATCAGAACTTAAAATACAATTGGGAAATGAGACTCAGTATAGCTGAATTTTGAGAGGGGGGAGGGGAAAGTAAGAATATACTCCCCTGGGTGGAGGAGGGAATATATCCCTAATATACCATGCTTTCTAGAAACTAACCTGAATTTATATTGATTGAGTAACATGTCTTGTCTCTCTTGATATGCATGTCTTCTATAGTGCGGACCATAACAGTTTGTTACCTAAACAGTTAATTAACATAAAGCATTAAGATGCAAAAATTAATCATTCGTAACTTTACGCAAAAATTCATGGCAAAGTAACAATATAGATTTTTTACAAGCTTTTGGTTGTTTTCAATGGAGGTTCTTGGTTGCTTGGACTAGTGTAGGACCTACCTGGTCAACGGGTTCGAGGTTGCTGATTGCTTGTACTTAAAGACGACCTACCTGCTCACCTGGCTGTAGGCTCCTGGTTGCAAGGATTAGAAGACAACCTACCTGGTCAACGGGTTCAAGGTTCCTGGTTGCTTGTACGACGACCTACCTGGTCACCCAGCTGTAGGCTCCTGGTTGCACGGACTAGAAGACGACCTACCTGGTCACCAGGTTAGAGGTTCCTCCTGGTTGCTTGTAATTAAAGACAACCTACCTGGTAACCAGTCTGTAGATTCAAGGTTACTTAAACTAGAAGACGACCTATCTGGTCATCAGGCTGGAGGCTCCTGGTTGCACGGACTAGAAGACGACTTACATGGTTATCGAGCTGTAGGCTTCTGGTGTTCATGGACTAGAAGACGACCTACCTGGTCACCAGATTGTAGAGTTCTGGTTACTTGGACTAGAAGCCGACCTACCTGGTCACAGGGCTGCAGGCTTCTTTTCGCACGGGCAAAAAGACAACCTACCTGGTCACCGGGCTGTAGGCTTCTGGTTGCACAGACTAAAAGACGACCTACCTGGTCACCGGGCTGTAGGCTTTTGGTTGCATGGACTAAAAGACGACCTACCTGGTCACCGAGCTGTAGACTTCTGGTTGCAGGGACTAAAAGACGACCTACCTGGTCATTGGGCTGCAGGCTTCTGGTAGCACGGACAAAAAAACGACCTACCTGGTCACCGGGCTGCAGGCTTCTGGTTGCACGGACTAAAAGACGGCGTCCCTTGAATTGGTTTATGATTGTTGTTACACAACTATGATTCATCATGCTGGCACTGGGATATATTGCTGTAGCTAACCGAACCTAGATAAAATATATACTAGCTATAATATAATATATATACTGACTAAAGTGCCCGGCGCTGGCCGCGGAATATTTTCAAAATCGAATTTTTTTTAAATCAATTTTTAAAAGAAAAAAAATTTAAATTTTGAAAAAAATAGAAATGTTACTCAAGAGTTCCCTCAAAAAAATAAGCCCATTCGGTTCAGCTGTTTGGCCAGCTATAGCTGACATATAAATATATATACAAGTATTTGAAATCAATTTTACCAACCTGCTGTACATCTCCATTCTCACTCTCTCTTAGCTCTGTTATTGCATGAGCATTTCCGACCAGTTGACATAGATGCCGGAGTACCAATCCACCGATATAATTCACTAAATTTAATCATTTTCTTCAAAAATTTCAATTAAAATACGTTGTGATAAATTATTCATGTTTTTTTTTATTAAAAGTGTTACTAAAAATTTTAAAACATTGTTTTTACCTTTTACAATTTTACATGATTAACTAATGATTAACTAAAAATAGAAAATATGTAAGAAAAGTACCTAGGTCCTCATCTGTATCATCTTCTGTCTGCTGGGAGGGAGATTTAGTTGGGAAGATAAACTTGCTCTTCTTGGTGAGGAAGGTTGCAAGGAGGGCAGCGGTCACTGTGTACTGGAAACATTCATCTTCCTCAACATTTATGTTCTCCATTAAATCAGAACAAATTTCATAAATTCATAAATTCATAGTGAATAGTGATCAAGTATTCTGACCAAATGTTCAAACCAGACAAAGTAAACAAAGTTTAGTGTAAGATTTTTTTGGTTCCTTATGCATTTTATGTATTCCAATAAATCTGAGCAATTGTTCAGACCAAACAAAAAAAAATAAAATAAGATTCGGGTTTTAGGGACATTCTACAAACCATGTCGAATCCTGAAATGAATTTACTAAATCAGAATTTGACGAGGGACTTAAGGTTTGAATTTAACTTTCCTTTAGTTTGTGTTACGTTTTCAGCTTTAGTAAAAATAACGAAACAAAAAGTAAACCGAATTTTAGCCATTGATTTTCTTGAAAAATTGCCCCCCCCCCCCCTCTTCAACAAATCACCATTTGAACGAATGTCCAGACCAATCTGCCCTATTTTTACCCACCCTTTTCTTTTTATATTTTATAAAAAAAGCACAAACAAAAGCCAACAATGACATTTTGGAGAAAACTACCTGCATCTTGTCAACATGATGGGTCAGACTGAAAACTCGGCTGTATTCATCATCGTTGGAATATTCAAAATTTTCTCCCCTTAATTAAAAATAAAATTTTGACTAACATTCAGAATTTTCTCCCCTTAGTCAAACATGAAATGAAATTAAATGAAAAAGATCGTAAAAGACCCCCAAAAGAAGTTTCCCTTCATTCAAACAAAATCAAATTTATTTAACTAATATTTAGAATTTTCTGCCCTAAATTAAACAAAAATAAATTTGAATTAGTATTCTAACAAACAAAAATATGAAAAATCTGATTTTTTTCTGATTAAAATAAACGGTAAGTGATAGTTGAATTTCTATTTTCTAGTTTTATAGTACCTACTGAAAGAACCCTTTTTTTAAACCATAATGAATTAATTTTTTCACAATGTGTTTACTTAATTGATTGCTTGATATTAACCAGTTTCTCCAATCCAGTCACAAGAACAGTTCGCACAGCTAAGTGACCAATACCTACGAATTTTTAAATTTGAAGAGAAATAAAATATCATTTTGTTCGGTTTTCCATAAAGTGATCTTACTTCTGATTAAAAAATTTAAAACAACAAACAATGTTAATTCTTACAAAGCTAAAAATTCCGTAGATTTGTAATTCCGAGAAAAAAAATACATTTAATTTTTTGAAGGAAAAATTTTGCAATTTTGAGTGGCAAAAAAACCGGACTTTCTTTACATCTTCTTCGCGGATTTGTCTTCTAGAAAAGAATTTATTCACATTTTTTCTAGGAAAAATTTTGCAATTTTGACCTGCTATAAACCAGGCTTCCTTAGTCATGTAAATACCACAAAAACTAAGCCGGTTAGCCGTTTTGGCGTTGATTGGATACAAACCAACAAACATTAAAATTCATTAATAGATTTTTTGTCAAGTAAAGCTCAGTTCGAACTGTAAAACAATCCCTTTAATAGTTGAATTGCTACCTATGGAGTGCAGAAGATCAAGTTGACCGCACTCATACTGGTGATACTCTTGCCATCCTTCCTCCACACACGCATTACTTAATATAATGACAAATGACAAACGACAAACGACAAACGACAAACGACAAACGTCAAACGATAAATGATAATTCACTACCTGCAGTAACGTGGCTGTGTACATTTCTTACAGGGCATAGGTGCCTCAAGTTTTCTGAAGAAAAAAAGCAGGGAAAATTTGGATAACAAAAAAGTTCTATAAAATATCAGTAATTTTAAACAATTTCTCCCAGAAATATTTAAGCCAAATCTATAATATTTGTACTGGAACTTAAAAGAAAAATTGATGAAAAATTACAATTAAAGTGTAACCTGTAACAATGATGACAGTGTGTACTGTACTGCTCTGGTAGCAGTACACTACTATATGGCTCTTCACTATAAACAAAATTCACCAGTTCACATTAGGACAATTGTGTTTTGATATTGCATTCTGTGCTATATTCTTTCATGGGCATATATTTAGCAGAATATGGGAAGATTGGGTAGGGAGGGAGAGAGGGTAAAAAAAGGACAGCGACTGGGAAGTTTTTCTCTCTTTTTAATGTATCAGGGTTAAAAATTATAAAGGAAGGGGGAGGAGGGGGAATGATTTCTGGAGAAAATAGAATGGAAAGTACTTTTGTTGACATATTCTCTAACAGTTTAAACGAAAATAGAATGAAAAATACTTTTGTTGACATATTCTCTAACAGTTTAAACGAAAATAGAATGTAAAGTACTTTTGTTGACATATTCTCTAACAGTTTAAACAAAAATTCTGACCCATGTTTTATCATTGAAAAACAATAAATCTCTCCTTGTGTCAAAAACGTTTGGTTTAAATTATTTGATGAAATAACATTGATGAATTTCCTAAACAGTAGTTCTCCTTCTTCAATACTTTGCGATGTTATCACAAATCTTCCCTTGATTTTCTCCTCTGAACTCTTTAATGCTAACTTGAACAAAAATAATTAATATTTAAAATGTTTTCTTTTAAAATAATATATTTTGGAAAGTTCTCGACTTGACAACAGAAATACCGCACATAGACATAATCACTAATCAGTATATAAATATTGTAAATTGTATAAATTAGCAAATTCGACAATTTCTCAACAAAATTACGCATTTGTTAGAATCTTAAATCAGTTTTTTTAGAAGCCTATAGTGCGAATTGTGTTTGGTAATATAATAATAATAATTCTTTTCGTTCATATATATTTGTTTGTACTATGTTAGCTACAGCTGGCCAAACGGCTGGACCGAATGGGCGAAAATTGATGAGGAAACCCACACGGACAATTTTTTAATTTTTTTTCAAAATTAAAAAGAAAATTAAACGGGCAACGCTGGGAACTTCAGCTAATGTAAAATAAAGCTCTTCGATCATATATAGCTGCCCTAACGGCTGGATCGATGAGCTGAATATTTTTTTTTGAGAAATTTCGATTTTGGATTTTTTACTTCTATGGGCAACGCCAAGCACTTCAGCTAGTTCATACTAGTTCATTTCGACATTTTGTGGAGGGTTTAACCGACTAGGTAGCAGATTTTGGGACTAAGATACAATTTGGAGCAGACTTTAAAGACTTGTAATAATAATTGTTGAGATTTTTTGCACTACTATTTGTAGCAGATTGTGTCTGAGTTTTGTTAAATAAGTGACATTTTTTAGTTTTAATGTCTGTGCCGTGTAGATTTCAATGTTAATTCAATGTTATTTTTATTAAAAATGAATACCTTCGGCGACGCATTTGGAAGTGAAGAATTGACGAACAAAGGACTTGGGTCGTTAGTCTGGTCCCTAAACAGTCAATGTTAAATTTATTTCTTTATGCATCTAGTAAATTTAATACAATTTTTACCAAGTCGGTGTGTATACACATTTTAATAACTATTCAGAACTTCAGAAGCTTTAGGGATAAAGGGGAAACGATTTTAAAGAAAATTCTCAAGCATCCTACCCCCCCCCTCCTCCTGACAAACCTTTCAGTTGAGTTTGTCCTGTTAAGAAGGCCCTCAAGCTCGAGCACCATAGCGTTCACATCTTTCATAACAGAAATCTTCTTTTCATCAGATAACTTGGCCGCATCAACACCAGCTTGACAGCTATTCAACACCTACACGATAAATGAATAGTTAAATAAAGAATATCAGGCCCTTTTTGGAAGCTGTCTGTTTCTCTTCTTGCTTTTAAATCTAGAGTAAATAAAAAATCCTACCTCAACGGCCTCCGCGTAGGAACCTAGGCGTAAAAGACACTGAGCTTTCCGTTGAAGAATCTTGTATTCAATATTCTTCGGATATTTGCACTTCAACGCCATCTGTACATCGTCCAGGGCGGCACGGTACTCCCCACAGTGAAACAAGGCAGCAGACCGGTTTCCGTACGCCAGGGACAACTCCGGTCCATACTCAGGGGCGCAGATTATGCTTTCTGTGTACAGTTTTAAAGCGCCGGCGTTATCTTTCCGCTTAAACTTCTCATTTCCCTGAAAATCCATATTTTACACCTTAAAAGATTTACTATAAAAAAATTCAAACCTGATCTCGAAGTCTTGAGGCCGCAGTTCCGTTCTTAAAATGATGGACCTCACTACACTTACTAAATGAGAATATTGATCATGTATTTGTGTGCTGTGACAGGAAATTTGATAATATTTGATTAAATAACAATAAATAATTGAATGTACCTAATTAAATAACAATGAATAATTGAATATACCTGATTTAATAACAATGAATTATTGAATATACCTGATGTAGGTTGCAATCTTCTGTCTGATTGTTATGTTTTCACGGGCCTTAGAAACCTTGAACAAAATAGATATAAGAGCCAGAAATAATATTCTAAAGACTAAACTGCAAAATTTTAAAACTTGAACATTGTCATCTAATTTTTTTTACCTTTCCCTCAAATGTCTTGATGTTGTTAATTTGATGCGGGAGATTTATTTTCTTTAGTTTTTCCGTCAATGTATCCAAGACAACCGGCCACGTCTCGGCATCGAAGCCGAGTGACATTCTTCTGAAAAAAATCAATCAAGTGTACAGCTATCCCAGCATAGTTCGTTTTCGGCCACGTTGGCGGATTTCTTCAAACTTCTTCAATATTTCTGACGCCTGTTTAATATTTGATACTAGCTTGTTCACGTAAAAAATCCTTTTAATATTTAGTTCTCATCAATTTATAACGTGGAATAGAACAATATGAGTTAGTATTTTATGAATGGACGGTGATTTAAATTGATTTAAATGAGCTCAAATCAAATTAATCCATTCAAGTCAGTTAAGTCAATTCCAAATGAGCCAATATTTCATAGAAAAAAGTTTTATTGATAAACATTTCATAGATTTCATAAGTTTCTTTCAATCAATCAATCGAACATTTAGTAAAATTAGCTCAAAATATCCCTGGCTACCGACAGCTTTGGTGTAGGCCGTCAGAACAGTTTGGAACAGTTCCTCCGTATTTGGATGTGTACTGCAGTACATTAACTTATCAATTCAATATATTTTTTAAACATTTTTGTTAAGGAAACTGATAAGAAATGCCAGTTAGTTCAGCATTGTGAAGACGACTACTGGTTTAGCCGCTGTCTCCATCTTTGTATCAACCTGCAGTACGCGGCACCGTACTGCACATGTTTTCTACACCAACACCTGTTCTCTTCCAAAGTCTTTCTCAACACTACATACGTCCAACCTCACTTCTCCAACACCCCTCGTAGCGAATACTACTTCTCTGCTTCAAAAACTACTAATATTTAAAATTGTTAAGTTTCCCTGATAAAAGCTCGTTCCAGGACATATAGATCCACTCCTTTATCCTCGGCTACACCGTCTTGAAAACTAGAAATTAAAGGGACTGTACACGTGAGTTCAAGTGATCCTTCATTTACAGAGTCACATGTCTTGTTCACAAGGGTCCTCTTTTAATCAGATAAAGGGTGAATTAGATGTTCATAAACCAGCCGAAATTAATTACTTTCTCTAAAACAAAACTTAAGCTGCAGAGACAATGAAGTAATTTTTCAGAATTTTACTCTTTTCCAGATAGAATACACTGATATACTCCTTTTTGTCCCCCAGACAGAATTTTTGAAGAGAACCGTTGTGAATCGGACATACCCCTTCTTTATGCAGTCTCACTTAAACATACTTCTAAAGTATAGATAAGGGAATTATACAAATGTTAAGGGGTTTCTATCGTTGTTTTTGAATAAAATTACCTGAGACCAAAATCAATGAAAAAAAGGTTTCCCTGAGCGTGAACCATAATATTAGAGGTGGTTATATCTCCGTGAATGAGACCTGAACATGAAACATCTAAAGTACTAATTTCAAGTTACACGCCATGGAAAGATGTAAATGCCCGATTTACAATGGTACCTTTAAGATCGTTGTCTGATCAAGTATGAATTAGATATCAATCTGATAATTTTCATTTGAGGTTTTTCTGCGAAAGTGACATGCGCACTTCTTCCTTAAAAGAAGCAATTGAGAAACTACCGGAATAAAACACTTTTTGAGTAAGAAAAATGACGATATATTCCACATTTTTTATCAGTTTAAGGTACCGTCGTAAATCAGGCATTGCAATCTTTGCATGGAGGGTCATTTGAAATTATGCTCAAAGTCCCTTTAATTATAATCATCATAAATTTAAATTTTATATATTTTACAACAAAGTTAATAATATGTTTTTATTACCTCCGGCGTGCAGTTTAGCCACCATTGTTCCAATATCAGAGGCAATTTTTTCTTTTTAACAATCAAATTTTATTTCAGAATTAATGGTAAAGAAAGAGTATATAGAAAGTAAAATGTCAAATTACGTTGAATTTAAAAAAAAACTTGATAGGTTTTGTTTTAGAATAAATAAATATCATCGAGTACTCCGATGGTTATGATAACATTAGTCTAACCAATGATGGGAGTGGAAATCTCACAAAGACATGACGAGTGATTAGAAGGATAGAGCCCCATACAATATGTAAATATTTGAAATTAAAGATGTTTCCTAAACTAGCTTCATCCTTCTCATCCAACATTTTATTAATGCAATCCCTGAATCGAATCATCAAGTAGAATCAAAGAGATTCATTGAAAAAATAAATATAAAGTGCTTCAGAAAAAAACAAATCAAGACTTCAATATTGAGAGTTATAGATTTTCTTGAAAAAAAAACTTTTTCCCACAGAGATGTAAGTTTTAGGGTGTCACTTGCTTATAAAGGGGAAATATGATGTTTATAGGGGAAAATATATGAAATTTAGGTAATATGATTCCAAAAGGGTGAATTGATGTCAAACTTTTTTTTCTTGGAAATATACAGTGATTACCAGAACACGTTGAAATAAGAAGACGATATTCTAGCAACACTGAAGTGCATTTGATGTTCCTACAAAGCAAATAGTTTTACTACTAAATTATTGAATTACTTGGTGAAATCGGTCTGTTTACATTGCAAAATATCTGTGCCTCATGTTCATTTGACTTTTTAAAGTCATAGCTTGAGCTTAAAAGTCAAGTTCCTATTCCAGAGTATCCATTATTCCTTGAATGAGAAATGATGAGTTTTCTTAATGAGGTGCCTGGCTGTTTTAGTGTTGATTAATCTCTCCATAACGATAATATTGGTTTCGTTATCACACAAGAACATCGTGGGTACTGGTACACCCAGTCCCTTGCACTATAAAAAATACACGGTTTCATGTTTTTTAAAATTTGTTCACAATGTTTTAGAAAAGTTTACACAGAGCAACAAATAAAAACCCTGTCAAGAAGAATTTTCAAATATCAGTATTCAGATAAGGTAACAAAAACATCTCCCCCGCCTCCGAATATTATAAAAACACATAAAATTTATAAAAATTAACTCTATAAGATTATTTTTGCTCAGTAGTTGAATAAAAATCTTACTTTGAGCAATGCCCGACATTCTGCTCTATGTCGATCCTTAGTAAGCGCGGCATCAAGCGCAGGATGCCGGTATTTCTTGCTGAATCTTAAAAAGTATTATATTACCAGGTTAATAAAAAAATTCAATCAAACTCTGGAAGAGGAAGACGACATTTATTGAAATCTTGTGTATTTGATGTTGTTATAAAGTAAATAGATTTACCAGTAGCATTAAAGGTCAGTATTAAGTGTTCATTCGACTAACTAAAATTATAACTTGAGTCTAGCAGTTGCGTCATCTCCCTTTTCTTAAGTTTTATGGGACCCCCTGCACCAAACAAACAAACAAACAAACAAACAAAACAAGCAAACAAACGAACAAGCAATCAATCATCATTCCGTAGAGACACCCTTCCTTTCATAAAAAGACAATGCTAATTCTGTACGAAAATCTGAAATCCAGGGATTCAAGACAACAAAAAGAAAGTATTTGTAGCACTGCATTTAGATCGTATCCTTCAACACTGGAAGGTTTACACACTTAAATATTTCTAAGTTAAAAGTAGGCAAACTAACCTTTCCTTGACCATAACCTCCTGGTCAAGGAATATTCCAGAATAAAGTCTGGCCTCGGCACCTTGCTTTTCCAGAGTACATCTCGTTAAGTCCATATTTATCCTTAAAAAAATAATCAGATGTGACTTAAAATAAAAATTGTCAGAAATGGCTTAATTTAATTGCTATAGAAAGCATGCAAAATACATAAAATGCTAAAATAAATGCACTTACTAGACCAAAAACTCAAGTTTTTCTTAGTAATTTTACTTAATTTGCAAGGTTGCCATTGTGTATTCGCACATAGGGTCACTTGAAATTACGTTTACAGTCCCTTTTTAAAAGTATTTAAACCTGCTTGATGCACACTAGTTGTTTACAAACATCTGCCAGCCCAGCCAGGAGAAGTACGAGAAGAACAGGATTACGGGAACACTGGCGGGGACTAGAAGCAGGTAGTACAGCAGTACACTCTCAATCATGCAGTACACTTCCTGTACATAAACCAATATTGACATACACTTCCTGTGCATTAATCAATAATGCAGTCCACTTCCTGTATATAAGTCAATAATACAATACTTTTCCTGTGCATAAATCATTATTGAAATACACTTCCTGTACATGATTCACCGACAAAGGGTCAAACGACCCAGGGTCAAACGACAAAGGGTCAAACGACACTGGGTCAAACGACAAAGGGTCAAAAGTGCGACAAAGGGTCAAACGACAAAAGGTCAAAATGATAAAAATATTTTTTGATTTGAATCATAGGAAACTCGCAATTTTAATAACAAAAATCCGCCAAACTTTCTTGAAGATTTAAAACTTTAGTCTGATTCTGGCTTCCATAATGGTCGGGTTGGCAATATAATTGACCATTTTTGACCCCTCGTACATGAATCAATCATGCAATACATTTCCAATACATAAATCAATAATGACGTACACTTATTGTACATAAATTAATAATGCAGTGCACTTCCTGTACAAAAATCAATAATGACGTACACTTCCTGTACATATATCAATATTACATACACTTCATGTACACAAATCAATAATGACATTTAATTCTGTATATTCATGCAATACACTTCCCGTACAAATGTTAATTATGCAGCACACTTCATCCATGTGTGATATGTGTACAGTTTAAGTAATACATTGCACTTCCTACACAAGCTAGTTTTAATACAGTACACATCCTACACAAGCTAGTTTTAATACAGTACACTTCCTACACAAGCTAGTTTCAACAATACATTGCACTTACTACACAAGCAGGTTACAATAATACAATACACTTCCTACACATGTAAACCAAATCAAACTCTCCATATAAGTTTACTTAGTCGGACGGTAACGTTAAGGAGAAAAGCTTCCTTGATGTTCATCAGAGGAAGGTTTAAACGGTACCATTGTAAATCAGACATGACCCTTAATAACTGAAAGGTTTCACTACGTCGGTCAACAGTCCCTTTATTTTGATAAAAATTAAAATGTCAAGATTACAATAACTAAAAATGCAAATGTTTTCGTAGGGTGTCTGGAAAACTAAATAACTTTGTATAGACTGTACACTCTTGCATTCCAAAGGTTTGTTGGTATGAATGTTAGCAAAAAGGGATTGGACAAAAATATTGCCAAATATTACACAGCAGTGCTTTGGATCCGGATCCGTTGGATCCGCAAGATTTTGGCTTCCTGGATCCGGATCCGAAAAAATATGCGGATCCACGATCCGGATCCAAGAGGAAAAATCAATCAAAAACTGCAAATGAAAAATTGGACATTGCTTGCCCCTTTTTTTTCTTTTTAATACTTAAACCCCAAAAATTTATTTATATTTCCCATAAAATCATTAATTTTCCCAATTCCACAAATATAATACACACACACTATTTATTACATACCAATATATATTATATAAAACTTCCGGGGGAAAAATCAAATTACAAAGGTGGTGGGGGGAACAAAATTATTTTTCGAGAAAATATATACCCCTGAATAAATAGAAGGGAACAAACCTAAAACTCTGTTTAAAACATTTTCTCTGAAAATATAAAAAAAGTACAGCACAACAGATCCCATAATAAATTGGTGTACATTAAAAAGTACAGAACAACAGATCTAATGATAAATTGGTGTACATTAAACAGTACAGTACAACAGATCTAATAATTAATTGGTGTACATTAAGAAAACGAAACAGATTCGTAACTACGGATGCTCTAGAGATGGAAATCGTTTTTGTGTACAAGCGAAATTTTTTGTGAATGATTGTGTCTTTAAAAAAAACGAACGATGGACGAACGATTCAGATCGTACAGAGAAGTGAAAATAGAACGAAAAAGATAAAAAATTAACGATATTTTTGAGAACGAAGGAAATAAATTTATTTTGAACGATTGAAGAAAAAACGAAATGGACTGTCCACGAACGTAATCGAACGAATGAAAAAATCCGAATGCGCCCGTCTCTAGTTGTAGAATTGAAAACCACATAAAGTGGGTCTTCCTGCAACCATTAGAACATTAACCATGAGGTTACGACAGTGCTAGTACAATATTTTTAGTGCAAAGCTAGTTAAATATATTATAAAGCGGTGATGAACATTAAACAGTATTGACAAAATATACAAATATCAAATAATCCTAGAAGGTGGGCATACAAATTTAACATTTAATAAATTTCAACAAATATAAAATCTAAAATACAAATTTTTTCAAATGCTTACAAAGGGGACGGAGACATTTTTACAATGAGTACAGAGTACATTTAATCACAAGTTACAACAGTCAAAAGCTCAATAAGATATTTTGTATATTGACCAACTCTTTGATTGATTGACTGATTGATTGATTGGCATCTGAAATATCTTGATTGATCAGTCAGCTCGTCTTCTATTTTCGTTTATATGGAGTCGGTTGGTGATTCGACATTCTGCAAATTTCCTAAATAATAAATAAATTATGCTATGTTAAATATTGAACACCCCCCCCCCTTCTCCTCCTCCGGCTCCTTACATCAAAATACAATCGATTATAGTTAAAATCAAATCAAATCAAGTGTAAATCTGAAAGGAAACCGAACTGTTAATATGTTCACAGTCACACAAAAATTAAAGTTATATTTTTTCGGTTTACATCTTATGCTTACTTCTATTTTAATTGTATAATATATTGATACTAACTACATCCGTTTTGTTTCTTTGTACAAAATGTTTACTCCAGTTGTTTGCTTGTACATAGTGTTTACTTCTGTTAGGATCCTCGTTTCCTTGTACATAATGTTTACCCCCTATCCTAGTTTCCTAGTACATAATGTTTACCTCTGTTAGGGTTGTACATCCTTGTTTCCTTGTACAGAAACCAGGTGTTGGCACTCCAGAGGAACACGTTGAGGAAACCGAGCAGTACACTTACATTACCCCCTGTACAGTTCAGAATTAAAGAGACTGTGATTGAAATTTTTAACAAATATGCAAAATTAGCACAAATAGGCAACATTGATAATTACTCATTACATAACATATTTATCATTTCAGTTATTACGTAATCATCGAATCCTTCAACATGTAAATTATTCATTCTTGTATTTAATAGTTCTTGTAAAATCGGAACTTTCCATGCATGGTCCAATGGGAATCAGAATATTTCATTTGTTTTCATGTTAACCACCAGAGCTGTTTACCAATCCCAACAGTTTTAAATTTGTCAAAAGGATTGTGAATACTGAAGTCAGAACTAGCGTGTAGTGTATCTCGGGATCAAGCAAAGATCTCCAACTTTTGCAAATCTTAGAATAAATTTAATTCCTGTTTAATATCCCGTGATGGGTATACCCTGCATGGATAACTTTAATTTAGGTATCAAACATTATATACATGTGTACAACATGTCTTGTTTTTATCAAAGCAATAAACTATCAACTGCTAGTGTGGGAGCCTAGCAGTATTGGCAATTTCCACAATAATTACCGGCAAAGGTTCCTGCGTATGTAGAAGTACAGCTCTCAATTATGGTGAACACATAACCTTCAGCATTTTTCCTAGAACAAAAAATAAGTTTTTTTTTAAGCAGTTGCAAAACAACCCGTGACAAGTAAGTCGGATTGCCGAAATGCACTCCCTATGATCCCTTTAAACAGTAAATACATGGAAAAAAAAAATTAAAAATTTGTTTCATTAAAACTTATCTAAATTTTGAATTTTATGTAGCATAAATAACGAAAATGAGCACTAATATTAAAATTATTCCAAAACGTTGAAGTATATTGGAAACAGACAAACATACAAACCAATTGTATATATGTAAGGTAGGTATCAAACCTGCACATATGAGCGGGTGCATCTTCAGTATCCTGATAAATCCAGTTCTCTGGGTCTCCAACATGCTTCAGTCCACTGCAATACGCATCATAACATATTTTCGCACAAAATATTTAATTTTTGATTTTTTAGATATTTTTTTTTCCGTTCATAGAAATGTGTGGTGAATCAAAAATAAGAACCTCAAGAACAAATTGCTGTTTACTTATCCAAATTTTAAAGAACATTAGCTGCTATATACCTGAGTCCGTGGCCCCAAGCTGAACTGGAGGCCAACCAGAAAAATGCCAAAACAACGGCCATCGCTGAAATAATTTAATATAAAAAAATGAGTGCAAAGCAGCATTGATTTCATATAAGAGGGTCTGTCGATGTAATTTCAATTATACAGTGGCATTCCCTTTTTTAGGTTTTTAAAATAAAATTAATAATTCAGTTTTGTGGTCTGACTATTTTAAGTTTAAGTTTAATTTTATGCTTATCACATATTCTACAGAAATAAATTTTTAATATCTTTTAAGGTGGAAAAACGATGCTATCTTCCACTTTGGAGCTCAAATAAATGCAGGGTTGTAAGTATAAATCTTTAAAATCTTTTTTTAAAAATCTAGATGGTCCGGGAAGGAAATTAAAAGATTTAGACGGGTGGGAGAGGGGGAGGGGCGAGGTGGAATGAAAAAATAGAAATATTTACATCCTAATATAAATGTTTAAATGGTAACATTTGGAGTAAAGAGCCGGACACTCTTTTTAAATGGAGGGTTACTTGAAATTTCTTTTACGCTTCCTTAACGGAAAAAAATTGCGCTAACAATTGGAAAAAATTTAACTAACAATTTGACAACAAAAGCAATTGAATTTTAACCAAAAACTACCGAGATCAAATATCGGCATGTTCTTGTTCGTCTCTTCGTAGGCGTCTGCCAGGAAGATGTAGACCAGGAGGGAGAGAATAGAGTACAGCCAGCACACGACACCTACAGTACAAATAGTCATGTCAGGGGTAAAAACTCTTGAATCTGTTCATCGCTTAGTCGGGTTCCCTTCCCCTCCTGGTTTAAGGTCATTTAAAAAATATTTACTTTTTTGGATAACTACTTTTATGTATAAATATATAAAAGAAATACTTCCTTCGTCTTTTAATGGAATGTTTGCTCCATTTGTAGAACCTAATAGGACACAAAGTTTTAAATTGGAATTAATAAGAAACAAATATCTTAAACCTTTTCCAAAAATATTTCTCACGAAAATTTGGAATAGTGTTCCAATGAATAATAAATGTTCATTATCAGTACTTAGTTTCAAAACGAATATGAAAATATATCTGGCTTCCAAATATAAGGAATTTAAATGTAAAAAGAGGAACTGCTACTCATGTAATTTGAAAATCTTGTAAACCACTCTGTAACATATTATCTACAAAAATTGGATTTTTTAGTGCTGGGGTTTCTCCTTCTCTTCCCTTTTTCCCTTTGCTATTCAACCATCCTTCTTTTTTTCCCCCTTTTTTTAAAATTACTTTGTAAATTGTGTAATGTATTTGTTATTTGTTAATTTTAAAAAATAAAATGTATCTATAAAACTTTGGAGGGCCAGCCAATCAAAACAACCAGAAATGGTTAGGCTGTAGCCCTGGCTAATAATATTTTAGTAAAAAATTATAAAATGTAAAATGTATTTATTATAATGTTAGCCGAAATATCTACTTAAGGGTCCAGGCCTAACCCCTGAAAAAGGCCTGTTTTACTTCCAAGATTTAATTTGCTTCTAATCTTTTTAAAATGTTCACGATGTGTGTTGATATCGAGTTAAGTGATCGTAGCTAAGCACAATCACAGCAAAAGTTTTAGCCTGAAATTGAATCAAATTCAGCTTCCAAGTTTCAGATTAGAGTTTCAGATTTGAAGATTTTACAAACTTATGATTTGTAGAGCTGAATTTCTTCGAACTGTTTTTCAGGTCACAAACGACGATTTTTAATACATGCATAACAAATTTAAGGCACATGTTAAATCAAGCCACGGTAAGTTCAAGTCTTAAAAATAAGTGGCTTAATCTATTAGCCCTCACTAGATTAGGGATTCAAATAGTATCGGTCAAAATTAAAGTGTTTCTTGTAAAAATAAATATTTTCAATATTTCTACCTACAAACACAAAGAACTGAGCGTCGGAGGAGAAATCTCCCGGGAAGCTGAAGTCGGCTTCTACAATTTTGAGAAGAAAGATTAGTAGTGAATTTTTTTAATTCTTTTAAATTGATAGATCATCAACCAGAGGCCGAATTTAAAGAATTTGAGCGGCGGCTTAAATTATTTATTTAACACATTTTTTGCTTTCAAAATGTTTTTTTTTATTTTCCTTCCATGTTTCAAAATTTAAAAAAAGAGATTCGCAGCACTTTTTCTGAATTTTTCTGCTCAGGGGACTTGAATGAACGGGAAAAAAATTCGAGTGAATTAAAAATAGAATATATTAGGATATATCAAATTTTTACGAAAATATGGATCCTTCCTTTGAAAAACAGATCCAGATCAAGCTCATGAAACTGCATGACGTAAGTATCGAATCTAACCNCCCCCCTGAAGATATATGTTATAGTTCACCTAACATTGAGAAGAAGAATTCGAACAGTCTAAGCAGACCACGTGGGGTCTTCAACACCTAGAGTTAAAGTAAAATCTTTATTCTAGACTACCATGGAAACCGAGATATTTTCTTTATAAAAGTCAACCTATACTCAACTTCAATTTTTAAATCTAGCTAAGAACATTCTGGTGGTTTTTCTGAGTTACTCAATCAAACTTCGAGGCAAATCGACAATCGGTTAAACGATAAGTAATTATCTTACAACATATACCGATAAGTTATAATCTTACAACATACACTTGGAATTCCTGTACAATGTACATAGAATCAATTAATTCAAAATTTACATTTAACGACGATGCAAAATCCCTGTGCTGTATCAAGTTATAAACATTTAAATTTTTTTCCTAACCAATTTTTAAGGGCTATGTTGAAAATTGCAAGATAGTGTCTTCTCTGAGGAAGTAATTCCTGCGGAACAACATATTTTTAATTCCAGAGCATATATTGAGTAGTTCCGATGATATACCTCCAAGTTGGCTGTTCGACCCATGATAGTGACAGCCATCTTTTCTGAAATCAATTTTTGACAATTACAGAATTAAGCTTTGAAATAAGCTTAGTTAAAAGAACTGTGTAAATGGTACATTTACGATTGTGTAAAATTTTTAATAAAATTCTTGCGTTAATTGTCTTCAGATTTTAATAAGTTTAAGCTCTTTTATAAATATTGTTCTGATATGAACGAGCTAAAAACTAAAAACGGTCGACATTTTTTTAACTAAAAAACCTTTTTTAAGGTTTTTTAAAACCTTCCAGGCTGTTACACTTTGAGTTCTAATTACATTTACTGCAATACAAATATCATTGCAAATAAAACTTGGTTTATAAGTAAATAATCAAATATTCTTATGGATATTAATAACATCACAATGTAGTAATCCTTTCACTTTGCTAAAGTATATCTAAAAAATATATGATTACAATTACAATTGGTTACTAGCAATTATTTATAACAATCTTTAATACATCATAGTGCTTGAATAAGTATTTAGGTAAGTTTGTATGTGTGTGTAGATCGGCTGGCCATGAGAGAAATAAGTCAGTTTAATAAATAAATGTTTTAACTTTCTCCGCCTCTTGTTATTCTTGAAGTTTTAAATAAAAACTAAGTAAACCACGTTCAATAGTTTTCATTTTCATGATTATCAAGGAAAATAAATGACCTTTAAATTAATTCATCCAGATATTTAAGTTTGATTAAATATATAAGAAATAAGTTCCACATATAACTTTTCAGTCTGAATTTTTGACAATCTTAGGCCTAAAAATGCGTAAATGACTCGATTTTATAATAAAAAAAACTAGTTTTTTGGCGGATTTGACAGGAAATAGTCGAGAAAAAAATCAAAACATCAGCCGAATCAATCAATCATAATCAATTTATGGTTCTCAATTGATTTAAGGCAATACGCACTAAACATCACCAGGGCTTGGAACTTCTGTATAAAAGCTGATCTAAAAACCCCAACTTTTCATTAGAAGAAATTGAGGGAGAAATCCGTGAAAAAAAAAACTGCTTCGTGTTTTCGCGATATCTTTCTGTCGGCATATTTTTGTGAGACTACTGAGCTGAAAACTTTAGAATGGTGGATATCGGGATTAATGCTTGATCCTCTCTTTTTGATAATTTCAAGATTAACATAATCTTGCAAGATTATCTTAAAAGTGTATGAAAAACGATAAAATTCACATTAATATTTAATCATCTGAGAAACTGTAGCAGCCAAACAGAGAAAAGCGGGCAACTAATGAAGAGAACATAAATATTCTCATTGGAGAAAACAATTAACGGATATCCAAGGAGAGAGAAAAAGAGTGGATTAGGACAAAAATGAAAAGTTTCCACAGTGGATATTCGGATCAAGAAGTAAGGATTATAGTTTATCCATTCAAAAGTTCCCAGCTCAGGATATTCAAAATCTAAATAAACTTAATCCGTAGGACTGCAAAATAATTCAGATTAGTTTAGACCTCAGGTTCTAACTAATTGGTAACATAACTTCTAAAAAAAAAAAGAGTTTGATTTCAAATAAAAATGAAGTATTTCCCATGATTAAATCAGCATAAGATTAAAAATGGTGGCTAAGTATTTATGCCGTGTAAATCCTGACGTCGTTTTAGATGACACCAAAGCGCAAGGATATGAATCTCGAGGCAACAAACACAAGGAAATCTTAAACTTTCTGAGATAAATGTTTAAAGGGTAACATGGTTGATCACTGAATATAAACGTTGCGTCGAAACGTTGGGATATCCTTTAAAGAGACTGTAAGTGTAATTTCAAGTAACCTTACATTTTTAAAGATTCATGTCCGATCCACAACTGTAGAAACCCTCATTGTATACCTGAAGATTGAGTGTAGGGATCCTTGAGGTGTATAGTGTACACTGTACAGTGTTTTGTTTCTAAACACTGTACAGTGTACACTGTACACTTCGTGCTATGTGTACAATCGCGAAGTTTCTGGGCGCTTAATTTCCCGCTATATAAATAAGATTATCTTCGAAACCCTTGATCAAACAAAGGTTTAAAAAATATCGTTGTCATCGGACATGCCACTCTATCAATGGAAGGTCACTTGAAATTACGCTTACAGTCCCTTTAAGTCTCAAGGATACTTTGAATCTTCGTTGATGCAAAAGAATGGACTTATTCCACTGTTTTCTTGAAGTAGTAAGCTGCAACCCCGTCGATTGCTTTACACCACTGGGATCCGAAACTCTGAGGATCAGTTAGATGATAACGTCTGAACAGTCATTAGTCAGAAAAGTTTTTTTTAAATAAAAATAATAATTTAAGATGAGAATAACAAAGCCAACCCCCCCCCCCCTAAATTGAAATTAGTGAAAACAAAAATCTTCCAAATTAACATCGATATCCGACAATGAATTCCTGTCAGGGGTTATCACGAAGAATGTTTTAAAATCTCTCATCTCTGTCTCTGTTTTAGCACTCAGTGGTATCTCGCCCTGAAACAAAAAAAATATTGAAATCGTTAAATAGATAGTAGTCTTATTTTTGAAAATAAAAGATAAATCTTCTTCTGAAAACTCATTTATCCAACCTAAAAAAAAATTTTAGCGTGAACTGCAAATATTTTGTTAATATTTATTTACTTCAAGCAAAATATTGAGGAGAATAAAAAACACACTTGCAGTTCAAGGCTAAGAAATACTTAAAAGGATAGAAATATTGTTAAAGACCGTTATCAGGGTTTAGCGCTTCAACTGATTCCATCCGGACTAACGTACGATATTTAACGCCCATGCAGAAGTAATACATCCTTGTGGCTGGCAGCAGCGTATCTAGCAACTACCTATAAATGGTTTATTCGCTTATTAGCCTATTTTTTATAAGAGTTAAAAAAAATTATAAAAAATGACCTTGAGAATTTTCTCCTTCGGATCTACATAGAAGAGGCGAGGACCTTCAGTCAGAAGAAACATTCGTCTTCGGGACCATAGTCCTTTCTTCTTATCAAGCAATCCTAGACTCCAGATAGTCAATCAATCAGCCAATCAATCAATCAACAAATCAAGTAATCACTCAATCAATCAATCAATCAATCAATCAAGTAACCAATTAATCAATCCGTCAGTCGGTAAATTAATAAATTAATCAATCAATTAATGAATAAAAAATCAATAATAATTTAAATATGTGATTTGTTATGATAATACCTTGTTTAAGTATGAGGTTGTTCTCTACAAATCTAAATATAAGAAAATAATTTATCATTGTATGATATTATCTTTAAAAAACTGTACACGTAACTTCAAGAGATCCTTCATTTTGAAGAAAGACATTGAATTGTCAAGCTTGAATAAGATTTTCTATCTAAAAATTGATTATATTCCATTGTGGTTGTTCTGTGACTACTTATCATTTGCACAGGTCTAGGTAGTTAGTAAAATGTATTCAGAACCCCAAAGATCTGATTCGAAACTTTATTCCGAGCCTCAAAAATAGTCATCAAATAGATTCTGTGGGGCACAAATACTTTTTGCTAACTACCTTTGTTCGACAATATTTTGGGTTTATGGCTGTATCTCTCTCCCTCCCTCCAGGGGCTCATTTTCAAACAATATCACCCTTGGTTTAGAGTTAAAACTCTACCTGTGATATTCATTATTTTTCTTCTGTTCCTCCAGCAGTTTATTTCTATCCTCGGAGGTCAGATCGTTCATATCTCCTAAACATAAGAAGTATCTATCCACGGAGGACAGATCGTTCATGTCTCTTAAACATAAGAAGTATCTATCCTCGGAGAAGAGATCGTTCATATCTCCTAAACATAAGAATATTTCTATCCTCGGAGAACAGATCGTTCATGTCTCCTAAACATAAGAATATTTCTATCCTTGGGGGACAGATCGTTTTAAATATCTCCTAAACATAAGAATATTTCTATCCTTGGGGGACAGATCGTTTTAAATATCTCCTAAACATAAGAATATTTCTATCCTTCGGGGACAGATCGTTTTAAATATCTCCTAAACATAAGAATATTTCTATCCTCGGAGAACAGAAATAAGAATATTTCTATCTCGGAGGACAGATCGTTCATACTCCTAAACATAAGAATATTTCTATCCTCGGAGAAGAGATCCTTCATATCTTCTAAACATGACGCTCATTATCACGACTTCTCAATGGTGTATTTTTACATTCTCCTAGATCCTTAATGTGCGTCCTAAATGTACGCTCTCAATGCGTCCTAATTATTAGCGAGACTTCTAAGTAGTAAGTATACCTGACTCTGGTATACATGAAGTCTGTGATGTAAGACTATAACAAGGATTACTAAGATCCTGCTCTCCCTCCTCCTCCTCCTCCTCAGATGTGAGTCCAGGCTCGTCCAAGGTTTCACGGAACAATCTAAAGATAAAACTCAGGAGTGTCTGTTCGGTCTACTTTGAAACTAATTAACGCTTCACTAATAAAATGCTTCTTGGATAAAGCCCTTCCTCAGAAAACGCTCCACTCTTAAAACGCTACCAGAAAAAACGCATGTAAAGAAAAATATTTTCTACTAAAATATCACGTGTTGTATATTTTTACAAATTGGGAAAAACATTTTTATCACAAGTTTATATCTAATGAAAAATCTACAACTAATTTGAGTTTATTTGTGAAAACATATCGTTTTTCCTTGACTTTAATGGATGACAGCATTGGATAAAAGTCATGACTTTATTCCTTCAAAATAATTTGCAGTACACATTTCCATGATTTTTTCCCCAGGACTTTTTTTGTGCCAGAAATTAATCCAAAAACTTTTTTGATTGTGACTTTATGGGATGTCACGTTATTCTTTATACCCCCCCC